GGGGGGGGGAGTTTTTTTAAGCATGAAAAATGTTAAATGTGAAACAATTAGGACAAACTCTCCATGTGTAAGAACATAACCTTGGACTCAGAATAAGAAATACCCCTCCAAAGGGCATTTTTTAATGAAATCTATAATGTTTTCCAAACATAAAGTTAAAGGGATTCAGGATGATGATGAAAAAACCACTTTTCTTTCATCACTAAGAGCAGCAGAGCAAACAGAAGAACATTTGAAATGGGCATAGCTAATGTTCTGAAGTCAGTTCAGCACCAAAAATTGGTTGTGAGTCCACTAGTCTGAAAAATATTATTAGAGGGAGAGAGAAACATGACTTAAATTTAGAACTTAACCTTTTTCTCAGTGCTTCATGTTTAGCTGTAAATCTGCTGCCAAGCCATTTGCCAATAACCTGCTGCAGGACTGCTTTTGCTGAACAAAATAATGTTGTCTCTTTATTGTTTCCCCTGTGAGCAACCCTAATGCTGTCAGTAAAGGGAAGTGTTCAATAAGGACAGACCTGCTGCCAGAGTCCAGGTGCTGCCAGAACAGAGCCTCTGCATCTGTGTATGTGGGTCTGCATCTTTGGACTAGAGGACTCAAAAATGCATTTCTTTCTCTATTTCTAATTCTAACTTGCAAAGGAAGTGACTGTGCAGGATGTATGCTGTGGGTTTAGGTGGTAGGATCAGTTCTCTAAATTCACACACTTTCTATTTGGAGGAACAGGTTACTGCACATTAACTGAGTGATGGCAGCTGTCCTCATGCCGGCTTTCAGCCTAGACCAACTGTAAAGCAATGTGAAGTAGTTTAGCCTGCAGTCTGAGTTAAGTCAGGCATGGATTTAAGGAGGCTTGAGCCTCTTCATTTGCCTGCCTGACTGCACACTCAAAAACACATCACATTCAACAGCTGCACACCTTCTTCATCCACCATTTAGATCCCGATGTTGTTCATCCATGCATTGTCATTTTCTACGGACTAAAGACCCGCCCACAAACAGTCGTTACAGCTCAGCTGAAGCATGAAAAAGTTTTACGCCACAATAACCTGATTGCCCATCTGAACTCTAATTCAAGACAGGCTGCATTTGAAGTATCTCTACAGTTATCAAACATCACCTGCTGGGAAAGTTTCTTTTGTACCAACTGTTTGCCCACAAACGTGTCCCAGTGTCTCCAGTGCTGCAGACACTCCAGCTTGAGGATGTTATCAGAACAATCCCCAAAGACTTTTGCTGCATTGACATACTGAAAAGTTCTTTAAATGGGGATTTCAGATATACGATCCACCTATGTGTGGATGTGCTAGGAGAAACTGACAAACTCAAACAGTCAACTTCAACTTGCTCGGTGAAGAGTGTCATATGCTTCTCACAGACCTGTTCTTACACATTGGCCTTCCACTGCCCCTTGTAAAAGGGCATATGATGACATAGTGTAGCTATATATATAAAATAATCACCAACTTGGAATATAACTCCTGAGCTTACTCTACAATTCATGTCACTTAACTGATCACCAGAGATAGCTGGAGTGGATGAAAAATTCAGGTCTGTTTCCTTTGCTCCTTTTAGATAAAAAAAACCCCAAGTAATTGGTTTTCCCAGATTTTAGTGGACCCTTGAGTCAGGCTTTCTTACACTGAACAGTTTCTAGTTGCAGTGAATCAAAAATCTTTCTGCTCCCTCTTGGTGAGCACACATCCATTCTCACTGCCTTTCATGTAAACTGTCCCACAGCCGCACTGTGAAGAAAGCAACACACCTACGCAGCTTCCCCTCTTGCCTGAAAGAAAACAAGCTCCTAGGAAGAAAGATCTTCATGTTTACTAAATTCACCTCACACACAAATCACAAACAGGCCACAAATCATGGGAACACAAGTCATCAGTGATATCAAGCAGTTTTCAAGTGCCTGCTGCAGGTTTAAATTGTAAGGAGGGGGAAGGAAAGACAATAACCTCCTCTTATTCCTGTGGCTGCAGAGTGGAGAGCAGAAAAGTCACCTTTGCAGCACAGTCTGACACAGATTTTGATATTTGAGAAGCAGCATGACCTCAGTGCCTCTAAAACAAGCTCCTTCTCCTCACTAGAAGTAGCAGTGTGTGGCATTTCTGAATTAGCATGCACGGTGGTTTC